CGGTCTAGATTTATTACTCCACATTCCCATATCACATGTTAACATAATTAACCCAAGCTCCATTTAAAACTTGCAGATGACAGGTAATCACCCGACTTTCACCGTTCTAAGCATAGCTAAGCAAAACTGGCATATACGAATTTAAAACTGGTAATATGGTAAATATGGAATAACAAGGTTGGTAATGTAACAATTTGGTTTTCACTTGACTCCTAATCACTTAATGCAGTAAAAAGAAGCAAAAGTAAAATCAATTTGTAAAATACAAGGTAGGGTTGCATGGATCCAAGGCTTGCCTTCGTTGACGGAAAAGTCCAGGTCCAGAGTCGTTCCACCAATATCAACACCAACTTCCACAGACAAATCAACCTCCTAAACTACTTGATTAACTACCACGTGCTCACCTTCGTTCACTACACATAGTAACAATGCCATGCTTAACATGATGCAGATACAAAATATGATGCTCGATGATGGATACAAAATTTAACATTTGAATACAACTTTCCTTCGCGGTACAGTTACAAGTCAAACTAACTAAAATATTTTTGCAACACTCACAACAATTGCCAAGGATCATTACCAACTAATGACCCAAGGACATTACTTAATCAAAAACTCAAACAAAACATAAATCACTAAAGGTTACTATTTGCTTTTATGAATGAATTAATTAATTAATTAATAATTATAAAATAAATCAACTTGTTCCAATTGATCTCAAAATTTTTGTATATGTTCATCACATGATAACTAAGTGACAAAACAATTTTCATAATATTTGGATACATAAATAAGTCTAGAAAAATCCTGAAAACTCATTTATTAATTAATTGAGCAATTTTTATGACATTCAAAAAGTACTGAAAATCAACATTTCATATTTTAGTAAATAATACACATCACAGAGAACTCATACAAAAATTTTCATAATTTTTAGAGCTCTAAATAAATCTACACAAAAATAACAAAAACAAACACTATTCATTTAAATCTGAAAAACAGAAAATTCATTTTGAACGCTAAGTCACTGACAACCGGGTCCCACTTGTCATCTTCTACCTCGCGCTTTGACCACGGCGACACGCGCGCTGACCGGCGAAATCTCGACGACGGCGAGATCACCGGCGATGGCGACTACACCAACTTGTTCCCCACGACTAAGCGCACCTACTGCCGTTCTTAGTTGCACCGATTACGACTTAATTCTAGCTCAACGCCGGCCATGGCGGACACGGCGGCTCGGCTGCACGACGCCGGTGACACCACTGCGGTAGCGGTTAAACAAAACATCGAAGAAGGTTCAGCAGCTCACCCCGAACACGACTGAGCAGAGAACCAGACCGAATAAGCTACGGTGAAGGAGTTCGACGAGCACAGCCTCCACGGCGGTGAAACAGACGTCGACGACGGCACTCCGGTGGCTGCGGTGGATGAAATGACAAAAGAACAAGTCACAAAGTAGTACGGCATCAAGGCGAAGCTAACGGTACGCTCAGCAATGACAAAGACACACCGTGAAGCTCCAGCCACGGCGACGCGCACACGACGGTGAAGTTGCCGGCCGCGAGGAAGAAAACGATGAACGACGAGTTCACGGCGAAATCAAGCGACTAGAGCTAGCTGGTTGGGTGCGCAAGGAACTAGCGGAGCTGGGACACGCATCGCTGCAACGGCGCAGACGTTGGTTCGACGGCGAGGGCTCAACGGAGAATGGCGGTGAAGGCGGGAGAAAACAGAGCAAGAGAGCGGGGACGAACGGCGACGACCAAGGCTAAATAGAGTGGCTCAGAAGCTCAAGGAAGCTGCGTTGTGGCCTTCACCGTGCCAGCGCAACGCCAAAGACGGCCACGACCGCGCCTGGAAGCAAACCAAAGATCGTCGGCCATGTAGCTTCGGCGGTGGACACTGTTCATTGAATTTACAGAATTGCCATTCGCCAAAATTCCCAAATTACTCCCAAATTTTCATAACAACTCAAAAATCTCCAAAAACAAAAGTTGTTCAAAATCAAAAGTTCTACAACTTTGCTTTTGAAACCATACCCAAATTCGGCCTACATTTTTAAATGAACTTTTGAATTAAAAGCGGGGATATTTAAGGAATTTCGCCTTTTTAAATAACTTCAAATTTTACTAAACAACTTGAAAAACTCCAAAAACAAACTTTGTACAACTCGACAAGCTCTACAACTTTGCTTTAAGACTCAACCCCAAAATGTGCTTCAATTTTGAAATGGATTTTCAGGGTCGGATTTAAATATTGAAAATCAGGGTTTTCGGAATTTCAAATCAATACCAAGATTTCAAACTTGATTCAAACAATACCAAGCAATACTTATAACATAAATGTAAACTTGTTTTAGTGAATGCATAACAAAATTTGCAATATGACCAATGCCTTGCAATGCATATGATGATATGTCCGATTTTTTATATTTAAACACCCGAGGTGTTACAGGTCGGCATAGCCCTCATGTGGCATTCCACTTCTCCTTAACCCGCCTCTCGACAAATGCATGTGTTGCTTTGGAGAGCGACTCAGGTGGCCCGCTGGCCTCCCCTCGATGGGATTCTGTGGGCTTGGCTTGAGGCTAGGATCGAACGAGAAAGGTCGAGATGTCCCTGTCTGCTTCTAAGCGGGGTCAGGCAAGGGTCGCTGGGGCTCATCTTGGTTTTTCTCCCTTGGCTCTGTTTGATGCCAGGCGGCCTCGAGCCCTTCGTGGGCTGGCCTTCGAACCTCGGTCGATCGCCGCTCATATCGAATGAGATGACTACCACTTCGTGACGCGACGTGAAGCGTTGTGATGCAGCGATTGCATATGCGATGCTTGGATGTATGGGATGAATGTATGGATGAATATATAGTGAATGTATGAATGAATGGATGAATGAATGGATGATTGAATGTTCATGCACTGGAAAAGAAAAGTGGGGGTTGGTAAAGTTACCTGGACGGCTCGAGTGACGGGTGTGAGGAGCTCTTACCGGATATGTCCGTGTGGGGTCTGGGTCTGACGTTTATGACGGAGCCAGCATAACCTGCATGGGGCATCCCACCTCTCCGTACCCATCTCTTGGCAGTGGCCCGAGCCGTCCGACCGACCTGGGCGACCTGCCGACCTCACCTCGACAAAGATTCTACCGGTGGGTCCCTCCAAATCCTTCTAGGGAAGGCGGAGGCTAAAGCTTGGGGTGCAAGGACAAAAGCTCCGATCATGCTGGTGAGCAGAAACGTCGTAGCCGCTGGGGCATAGGTTTTTAGCGGTCCGACCAGTTTTACTCAGAGTTTGTTTCCACACACCTTGCCTCTAGGTTTTAACGTGAGAAGGGGTCGGGCATAAAGAATGTCTAGCGAATAGATACTCTTGCCAGCCCCTGAGTAAGGCCCGACCCCTTGCCGTTGTTGGGGTCAGAGGCTCAATAGCGAAATTGATTAAGAGAAAACATGCGCAAATTAAGGGCGACCTACCTTGATGGCATGAGTGGCGCAGGACCTACCTTGATGGCACGAGTGGCGAGTTTGGAGAGCTCTTACCGGACATGTTCGAGTGGAGTCTGGGTCCGTCATTCGTGACGGGGTCGGCATAACCTGCGTGGGGCGCCCTGCTGCTCCCTAAGTGTCTCTCGGCAGTGGCCAAGTCGTCCGATCGACTTGTGTTACCTGCTGGGACAGGACTTACCTACGAAGATAGGGGATGAACTGGTAATAAATGGACAAGCTCTTAGATTTTGTTATGGCCAAACAGTTTTTAGCCCTTCTCCCCCTTTCGTATAAAAAGGTTGGTGTGCTCTGACCCTTTCCGTCGTTGAGGCCGTAAAGCTCGAGGCGGAGCCACCCTCAGGGGTCGGGCGAGGAGTTTGCGCACCTAGGGGTCAGTTGGAACTGTAGTCGCGCTCTTGACTGCTCAGACGAATCAATGTTGATGGTTATTAGCTCCTCTTTGGGTATCCTAGTATTGGTCCCCGACATATAAGTTGATGAAGTCACTCTCCAGTGGTTTCACCAGCTCATGGAAGCTGTTTATATAGACAAAAGGTGGAGAAGTCAAAGCCTCCACAAACTGTGCCAAAGAGGCCCTAAGGCAGAGAAGTGCTTCCACCCCTATGGAGGAGTTAGAAGTTGTTTTGGTTGTATGAATGTAGAGGAGCTGGGTTTTTTTTTGCTCCAGCTCCACCGACGGACCCGAAGAGTTCTAGCAAAGAGGCTCTAAGAACTTTCCAACAGTATCAAAAGAGCTCACTCATCAAATATTTTATTAAATAAGGAGAGAGAATAAGAAGGTAGCTCTTCATGGAAGAATTCATGTGTCTATACTTATATATTTTTCTATACTAACATGTTAGGTTACTCTATTTTTATCTTTCTTAAGTTATTTCTAGAATGAAGTTATTGACAGGGTATCTGCATTATGTTGAGTGATATGACTCAATAGAAATAACAAAGTGTCGATAAGTGGCAACCAAATCTTATATCTTATTTAGGGAGTACATCGGCTCTCCAACTTTAAGCGTTGTCGCGGCAAAGTGAAGAAGGATAAGAAATAGTGAATCTTGCATATCCAACGTACGTTGGAGTCCATGGCCATGTAAATCTAGCCCTCCTATGGATAGAGTTCTATGGCCATGTAACTCTTTTTTTGCATGCTATTTATGGTTTGCATGGATGGGAATGAGTTGACCTGGTCATGGCCAACCTGTCCCATGGTCCCAAGCTCAATTTTAAGATAATGTGTTGACCTATTTTAACTAGTATATTGCCCGTGCTAACGCTACGGTGCCATTTAGGACAACACAAATTAAACAACCAAAATGGTGTATATGCTTTGGTGATTTTTGAAAAAAAAACATCGATCACATATTATATTAGAATAAAAAAAACATGATTCTCATGACCCTCCTTGGTAACCAATGGGTGATAAACACTTACTGGACCAGCAGGCCATCACCGTGATCCTCTAGTGTACAAGCAGCCCCAAAGGGTAGTTGCTGCAAACTTGATCAGAAAAACACATACTCCCGACCTATCCCCACATAGGTTATCAACATGGATGCTTCAGTAAGTTTCAGGCTTTCAGCAATCCAGCAGTGAGACGTTGTCCCATCAGTGTTCTGCTTTCTGTTCGTCTTGAAACTTAACTTACATCTGCAAAATGCATAACATTGGGCATGTCCAGTTTCAGCAATCAATAGACGGTATCAAATTACCTATACATCCCAAATGTCAGAACACACACCACTTGCAATGCAGTACCATATCAACAAGGCTCACATGCTTAACAAAACCTCGCATAGCAATTTTGGATTTTTCCACATCACAAGCCACAAGCTGAAATGTTCAGATTTTATATAGGCTGAAATTACACTCTAGCAAGTTGTACCAGTTCAATCTGCAATGGTGTTTATTACTTGATAGTTTGCTAGCAGATTCTAAGCATATATTTCATATAACCTGAACTTAGTGTGGGATTGCCGCTGAATAGCATGCCTTTTTTAAGCTGAATTTGGATTGTTATTTTTTATTAATCCAAAATTCAGGATGGGCTTCCAAAAGCCTAATCTGATGGGGAGCAGCGGCAACATACCTGCACCAGCACCACCAGCTCTGGGCTCCGGCTGCGACACCAATGAGTTCAGCTGCAACGATGTGGTAGCTGAGCGCTATCACCCCTGCGTCTATGTCTGCATGAACCTGCCTGTGCTCCTTGGTTTGTCGAAGAAAAACAACCATTCTCTGATAGATTCACCTTCAAAGATGTAAAGATCGAAAAGTTCTACAATGATATAGAATGGGTAACAATTAGTAAAAGCGTTCATAAGTATCATGTGAAGGCACAAGCCATGATGGAAAAGCTTACAAGGTTCACCCCATGGAGACTTTGACAAAGCAGCTCCTTCACAGATAGGGATCCCAACATTTTTCCTTTGATTTTTGCACTAAGACAGAGTAAAACCTCTCTTTGTAGACTATTGGAAAGCAGATGGTTGTTGTTTTCTTCTTAAAAAGACAATAGAAATATATTGACCTCCGCCATTTGCAACACCGATTGCATGCTGCACACACTTTGGTTACAATTGACGACTTGCCTATAATAATGAATCTGCAAGCTCACATGTATTTCACATAAATCATCAACAGATTGAAGAATTTATATTCATCTGACCATACCAACAAAGAGAACCTAAAAAGACTGAAAAAAATCTTGCCAATTTCAGAAATCAGAAAACCCTAGATGAAGAATAAATTTGAGAAAACATCAAATTCGTGGTGCTGTCCATACCTCAATGTCTCCAGAAACGCGGACTGGGCGGGAGAGGCGAAGGAGGAAGTAAGTAGATCGCGGATGAGGAATTGCCCTGACCACCTGGCCACCATGGCTGGCTGGCTGGATACCATTGTGTACTGATCTCCACGTCACATACCATACTGTCTCATTGGGACCAAAAGAAATAAAGACTGCCATGTAATTGATAAAGGAAAAAGAAAAGCAGGATCACTACCATATTTTGTTTGACTGTTTGAAAGATATTTCAATCAGCAGATGAACAATCAACAACAACAACAAAGCCAGCAGATGAACAATCATCCAAGCAAAATCATATATCAAAACATGCGTACAATTTTTAGTTAGAACTCCTTAAATTCATTAGGGTTATGCTCTCTGCTGATCAGAGATGCATAAGTTTTAATTATATGATCAACAGAAAGTCAAAACTGAAGAACAAATGTATACAAGTCGGCATAATTTTAGGGTTCCCTTTCAAAATTAACAAAAGTCACTGTTATAACAAGCTAATGGGGCTAATGGGCAGAAGAGAGGAACGAACCTTCAGTGTGCGGGTTGCCGGGCACGAACTCTCCCTCTATCAACTCCTTATGCAACACTATGAAAGTGTGCTCTGCGAACAAATAAGCAAGCAAAAAGAAATTCCTCCGAATCAATCACAACAGCTCAGAACTAAATCGAGGCAAACTGGAAGGAGGGGGTGCGGTGCGGAACTTAGAAGGCCGAGGGTCCATGAGCGGTGGACCTCAAACTCCTGCGAGAGCGAGAGGGACTCCGACGCGGTGGCCTCCAGCAGCGCCGGGTCCTGCATCCAGTCGTGGTACCGCGACACGTGCTCCTGCATGTACGGCACCATCAACGCTGGGCGAGCGCGTGAGGAGCCCCAGGCGGGCACCGGCTGGCCGCCCTGGCTACACACCTAGCCGTCAGTGCTCTGGCTGGCCGCCGTAGCCGACACGGCCTCTGGAGGCAGCTCTTGACGGATCCACTGGGCTTCACGGGTGCGACTCACTTGGGGGAGGTGTGGAGGGAGCCGGCGGCGGGAAGGACGACGCGGCTGAGGTAGAGGTCCAGGCCGCCCCGACCTCCTGGCCGCCATGGCTGTTTTCTCTTTTTTTCGGCGACACCAGGTTTCGAACGCGGATCGTTGTGTTGAACGCGGCGTTGAAGCCTCCGCGGGCGCGTTGAAGCCTCATCATCGCTATTGATACAAAGAACCGTGGCCGTTAGATTGCGTTGAAGTGGGTGGGTTTTAACCCTTAATTTTAATGAAGACAATTTTCAGGGTACAATAGGCTTGGTGCACAGTGGTTGGACTCCTCAGCGAGATATTTTTGTGGGTGCACCTAGAATAGTTTTGATTAGTTCGTTACAGTAGAGACTAAAGGTTACGGTCTTACAAGTCTATTTACATCTCTAATGGTATGGCCATTATTAGAGATATCAGTTGCTACATCTTCTTAACAATTTTGAACTGATAAATAGAGGTTGAAGCTGAAACTTCTTTTTATTGTCTATCTACATGAATCTAACTGTCCACTATAAGTTTATGCTAGGTGATTCGTTCACGTATGAGTTTTTAATTGCTCGTATCTAAGAGCCAGGCCCCTATGGGATAGGCTAAGCGCATACAACAGTGTTATGTTTAGTTGACTGTACATACTTAGCCTGGCTAAGAAGAGATATTGCGCGTGCTCAACTCCCAACCACCATTGGCCATGCCGCGGTGTGGCGCCGCCACAACACGTGGCGTCCAGAAAGCCAGAAAGTGCGTCACACTCGCCACAACTACCACACGTTCGACGAGCAACAGGAGCAAAACGACATAGAAAAATCTGTGGCGGCCAAAGCTTGGACGAAAACCAAACAAAACACAAAATTGTTGTACCTTAGGCATGGCGAGATGTGGGTGGGAGCAAGCACGCCTCGTTGTTTGGTTGCCTTACTTGCCTATACGAAGATATGTTGTATGAGATAAAAATATTATAAGGTTATGACTATGATTTTTATTTTGTACAAGTACACTCTTAACGTTCTTATTTTGTCTTTATGTCTTAAATTTCTTTAAAACACATCAATATCACTTGATATTTACTAATCATACACTAATAACATCATTAGCTGAGTAAACACCTGCATCGAGCCAGTGTATGATTAGCAAGCCAAAGACCAAAAGACAGTACAGACAAAGCTCCTCTAGTTTCTTCTATGAGCCACATAACGACGATCCTTTTTCCTTTCTCTGTTGGTAGGGGGAAAAATCGTGCTGTTGTGCAGGGATTCAGGGCTGCATAGGGCGCTTTCTTCCGTAATGGCCGGGAATCTTACTGATTTTGAGTACTACACTCTTTTTGTCTAGCGTGTGTCTACTCTCCCGCCAATGTTTTCCAAGCTTTCTTGTCTAGTGTGTGACGAAAGCTTATTGATTTTGAGTACTATATATATATATATATATATATATATATATATATATATATATATATATATATATATATATATATATATATATATATATATATATATATACACACACACACACTCATACTCAGGCTTTACTAAACTTGTTTCACGTAATTTTTCAACAAAGTTTGTGCGTTTGAAATATTCCCGAAATCAAGTTTGAAATCTCTCCATTCCAAATTATAAGTTAATTTGACTTTTTTTTAAAACATCTATGTTACTATGTATCTAGATATAATAACATGTCTAGATATATATTAAAATAGATTAAAAAAATAAAACGACTTGTAATTTGGAACGGAACGAGTACATACTTTGTGCTTGAGTTGTCTAGGGACCGATGTCTTTGGACAGTTAGCAAGTGGTACATGCCAGGTCCTAGCAAAAGGTCAGGAAAATACACACACGAAGCACTGTAGCAACAACGAAGGCAGAGAGAGAGAAAACAAGACGACGATCGACGGCCACGATTCAGCAGCCGCAGCAGCACACCACCGCTTCCACCCTGCATAATAAATCCACTAGTGATTTGCGCGCACCCATACGCGCGAGTCACTGATCATGCCTGTATCCAGGCAATGGAACAGCAGTGATAGTAAACGCGATAGGTATTTGCCTACATTGTTCAGCTAATAGATAATGGAGGATCTTTGGTTAGCCTAGAGGAGGGTGAATAGGCTGTCAAAATAAATACTTAAACTTTCATTAAATTCAACCTGTGGCATTGCCGCTCTGACCTCGCAGCAGTGCTGGGCCAGAACAGTGGCACTGCCGCACCTGCAGACAACTTCGAGTTACAGTTCAAAATCAGTGAATGTAAACTTGAATCGGAGAAATTTCTTAGCATCCTGCAGGTATGAGATTCAAAGATCGAGAGCTAAAAGTGGTAGAAACACAACATACAAGTGGATCGACCACAAAGCCTAGTAATCACCTCAACAATAATATGAAATGCAAATGATGTAAATCAAGCACAAGGTGACACGATGATTTAACCAGTGGTTCGGCTCGCCACCCAGACTTGTCTACGTCTACGTTGTTGAGGTTAGCCACTACGGCTTAGGGCTTTGCAACCCTTCCTCGTTCTCAAGTCAAAAGACTTAACTCTCGAGATGAGGGTGAGATTACTAGCTTCAAGAGGTGGTTACAAACCTTTCGGGGCTGCCACACAAGTTGGCAAACTCCACGGACGACGCTCAAGCCGGCTAGGAGCAAAGCTCCAAGAGTAATAAACACAACCGCAGGTCAAAACGTGAACCAAGTGCTCTTTTGAGTTGGAGAATCAAAGGATCTGCTCTCTAATCAAGTTTAGGGCCTTTTTCTCTCGAGCATTGATGGGGAAATCAAAGAGAAAGCTTGGGAGCTTAAGGTCACCAATGGAGAAGAGAGAGAAGGGCACTCTTCTATCCTTGGACAAGCTGAATGAGTGGGAGAGAGAAGAGAGACGTTGGGGAGGAAGGGAAAAGGTATAAGTACCCCCAGCCCCAACGGTCACTTAAGTCATGGCGATCTTTTGCGGCTCAAGTCTTGAAGATGCCTCTCTCCAGTCTTGTGACCGCCACACCGAGTGCAAGACAGCAAGGGTAAGAGTGAAGTGTTGGTTGTCTTGGCTGAGTAACTGAAGATGTATGTGTAAGATTGAGCACTTGGTAGCACATGTTAGCTTAAGCATTGTGTCCCCCTTTATAGTAAGGTTTTTCTTATACTCAAATTCAAAATATGAAAGAATTTAAACCTCTTTTGAGTTTGAAGTCATCAACATTTATAATTGGGGGCTTCTCCGTTTTGTGTAACATCCTCGAGTATAGATTTCCTGCTTGTCATCTCGATAAATCTCATTAGTTCTCTAATTGTGTGGTCATTATCACCGAAATCCACAATTAGGGCTTGATTGCACTTTTAATCTCTCCCTTTTTGGTGATTGATGACAACCCAATTAGAGCTTAAAAAAGATATGAAATGAATACTGAGATTTTTGAGCCATAGGTGTAGAGCCACTCCCTAAATGTGTGAATAGAGAATTAAATTCTCAAATTGGCATAAGAAGCCAAGATTCACATTTTAGCGAAAGTGATGGGGCTCTCCCTACATCCATGCTCCTGTGGAATGCTGCATACTATGTCAGGTATGTAGACGTGATGCGAATGACAGTTCATGCACAATAAGTTTTGCTGTAACAGCTGGGTGCGGCACTACCGCACTTGCTGTAACAACACAGATAAGAACAGACACCACACAACATGTAACACATATAAAGATATACATTCTAGCATAATTTTATCATCAGCTACAGCACAGATTAGTTTATGTCCATATCCCATACATATAAAGTACTTAGGTAGCATTATTACATAAATAGAGTTTTGAATCGTCTCTCAAACTCTCAACCTAACAAAGTCTACTCTAAACAGATAAGAACATGAAGCTCCAGCTGCAGCAACCTCCTCTCCATGGCGACGAAAAAGTTGTTGACCCCTCTAATTTTCTCCCCCTTTGACATAAAGCACCAAAAAGAGAAGAAAAGAAGAAAGACCAATACTCACTCCTCATCTTCTTGGATGGTGTCCCAATCGACATCATCCCCACCAGCAGCACCACTAGCACCTGCAACATCCTCCTCACCACCATCATCATCGTTGTCGGAGGAGGAGGAGGAAGAGGACACCACCGCCCTCCATTAGCGATGGGTGGTAGAAGTGTGACGCTCACGTCTGGTGCTTCTCATGGACTGCAAGGTGGAGCTCAACCTCATATGAGGGTCAAGCTCTGGCTGCTCCTGCTCCTCCTCCTCCTCATCAACCTCTGAATCTGTGTCGGAGAGGCTAGGGAGGTTGTCAAACCTCGGTGGTGACTATATTGGAGAAAGAGGTGGTAGCCCTGCACGCTCTCTAGCCTCTCAGTTGGCTTCATGGTTTTCCAACCGGTCCTCATATGCTGCATAGGTGTAAGTGGTGAAAATGGCCTTAATCCATCTTCCAAACTTCTCCATCTTCCCATCCTTGCGAGGCCTAGAGCGAGAGGACCCAGGCACGTCCTCAATTGATGGAGAGCATCTCACTGCCCTGCTAGCACCTGAGTCTTGGGTCTTCTCAATCTTGTAGACGGTGTGGAGACCATCTTTATCAAACCTATAACCAGTGACCCTCTCAATCATGAACATGAGATAGGGGGCATAGGGCATCCCCTTTCACCCATCCTCCATGGCATTCCTCAGCTCACGCCATATGAAGCGAGGGGCATTGAACCTGTCACCTCCAGGAGCAAACCTAGCAAGCACATTTGAAAGCTCTAGTTTGGTTTTGGTGAATTGATGAAACCCTAAGTGCTAACCTAGTTTATCAAAGTGATTATGAGATAGGTAGCACTACTCCAAGTGATGAAGCAATGGTGAAAATTATGATGATGGTGATGGCATGGTGATGATCAAATGCTTGGACTTGGAAAAGAAGAAAGAGAAAAACAAAAACCTCAAGGCAAAGGTGAAACTTGATAGGAGCTTTTTTCGTTTTGGTGATCGAGACACTTAGTGAGTGTGATCACATTTAGGATCGATAGCTATACTATTAAGAGGGGTGAAACTCGTATCGAAATGCGGTTATCAAAGTACCACTAGATGCTCTAACTCATTGCATATGCATT